AAGCGGGCGGGGGAAACTAGGGGAAAGGTCGGCGCGGCGCGGGAAAGGCGGGGCTGGCGGGAAGCGCAGGGGGCGGGGCCGCGGGCGCGCGCGTGGCGGGAGCGCGCCCCGCGGAGCTGCCCCCCTCCACAGCCCGGCCGTGCCCTGCCCGGGGCCGTCTTGGGGAGCCGGCTGCAGCACGGGGGGGTGGGCATATTTTTTGGCAGAGAAACATCATTTTCTCACAGYTTCTACAAGCCTTTTGTTGTTGTTTTTTTTTTTGGTAAAGGGGCCTCACATCCGCCTGAACGCACGGATCCAGATCAGTGGGTCAGTGCAAAGCTCCAGGGCTAAAAATAGACCTGTGTCCCTGCGGTGGGTCAGGTGCACTGTGTGCGTCGTGTCGTGTCGTGTCGTGCTGCTGTTGCCAGCGTTACGTATTTGAGCAAATCTTAGGATAGCTCAATTATTTACAAGACRAGAAGAAATGTATATTCTTTCTTCACTTTCTTCTCCATAGCCCTTTCTTCTGCTTTTAATGGAAATTCACTAGTCGCCAGTTGGCCGCAAGATCTGGGGTTTTAATGGAAGCCCCAAGTCCTCGCCTTGCTCACGCAGACGTTCCAAGGSCTGGTAGCTTTGCCGCAGTGCGGAGGGTTTGGACTGTTCCCAATGGTTCTGCCCTCCGGGAGGGAACCATTGACCCCTCYGGGGCTCTAGTTCCTGCTGGGCGGATATCCCAGCTCATGGATCTGCAGACTTTTACCCCAGAAGGTCATACCAAGTTTACCATGTGCATTTTTTTCCGGTCTGGAGCTTGTAACCAGCAATCAAGGCGTTGGGCCCAGTAGCTGAACCCAGTAGTACCTGGAGTAGTTTGATCCCAACAACAAGGTCTAACCCAAAAGGCAAAGAAGATCAGGAGGCTAAACTGAGATGGGGTCTATTCACCCTTGAGCAATGGGATGGGAAGGCCAGCTTCCTTCAGGCATGTCTCGCAGGTGTGAGATTTTTCTCCCTGGACAATTTCTCAGCCACGGCCTCATCGGTTGATCAGATGGGTTGTGGGACCCTTCCTTAGGAAGCTTTTCCGATGCCGTCTCTGGGCTTGATGCTTCCTGCCSTTGTAGGCCGGGCCTTCGGCAGTCGCCTCTGTGCTGGCGCTGGGAGAGGTGGCGCTTTCCCTCCTCGGAGGAATCCATAGAGACGYATCCATGTACAGGGTATCCATATTTTGACATCATTTCTTCAAGAGCTGAAATGCTGCTGCCTAGCTCCTGAGRAGAAACCTCTTTTGAGAGAAACCTACCTGGTAGTTTTCACTGGCAATTTTGGGAATATATATATGTTTTTACATGAGCTCATCGCTGTGAGAACCATGATTCAAATGCATAATATGCTATTAAGCAACCTAAAGCCTCGCCTGGGCTGGCTAAGTGAAGTCAGTTACCAGTGGTCAGGTGGGTAGCAAGGGGACCAGCGGCTCTTGGCYGGTCAGTGCTGTCTCCGCGTTTCCTTGTACTCCCACCCTGTCCAGCCTGCATCTCTGCTCTGTGTTTTGGGTTATACTTGGGCTGCGAGTTGCTGGTTGGGTTTGAATGGTAGCCACCATCATGGAGTTGTAATTTATGAGGTAGGGCCACGAAATCACAGCATCACAGACTGGTRGAGGTTGGAAGGGACCTCTAGAGATCATCTAGTCCAACCCCCTGCTCCAGCAGGGACACCCAGAGGACGGGGCACAGGGCGGCATCCAGGCGGGTTTGGAAGATCTCCAGAGAAGGAGACTCCACAACCTCCCTGGGCARCCTGTTCCAGGGCTCTGGCACCCTCGCAGTCAAGAAGTTCTTCCTCCCATGGAGATGGGACTGCCTGTGTTTCAACTTACACCTATTGCCCCTTGTCCTAAAATCCTGTGCATTATGATGTCTATGGGTCCTATTCGTTATGATAATAAAGTTACTATCGAACTTCATCAAACTAAAATTAYTTTTCAAACTTCCAAGCCAGCTCTAACATTAGTTACATCCACAAAAGTAGRTGGATTGCGCAGCTGTGGACGAAACAAACTCAGGAAAAGTATTGTCACCCAGTGACTAATAAGTGTAGGGATGTTCAAAACATAAAAAGCGGGGGATACAGGATGCAGCCCTTCTTTAATATAGATCAGTGGCCGTTCCTTATAAGGCAATAGCCACTCTTACTCTCCCATAYTGAGGAAAACATGAGAGAATTACCAAGTATGAGAATACTCCACAGTTTTATTTTGCTTTTTTATCTCAGTTCGGCCGTAGTTCAGAAGCGATTTTATTTGTCTCTTTTGTGCTTGTTGAAACACATGCAGTTTCTGCCCGGAGCGCTTGCACGCACAACCTTCGTCATCTACAGCACAGCTTTTCAGCTGAGTAATAGCATCGGAGAGAAGTGCATTGGAAAGAAGTTGCCAGTGCAGAAACCATAGCAGGGAAGCAGACGGATTGTGGGGGGCTGTTACAGCACCTCTGCTTGTGCCCCCTGCCTTGGGGTGTCTTCCCATACAACGTGCTTACACGTTCAGAGCCCAGAGCATGAATTGCTAGACGAGGGGTCTTCGGTAGTCTGTAGGTGCCAGGCGTTGAGGTGAAAGAAGGGATGTTGCAGCACGTCTGCGCTCCTGCTCGCACCGTAGAGAAAATGTGCTCGACTGTTCCTGGTACTGCTCTGAAAGTGGCAACTAAGGTTTCTAATGTCATCCTCAGAGGACTGACCAAAATCGCTTCGTCTGTCTTGCTCTGCTGTTAAGGCAGTATTAGCATGCCAGTATTATAGGTGGGGAAAAAGCATCTTCACCTTCATGTTGGGTGTCAATGACAGAGCTTGGATCTGAGCCCCGTGTARTCCCTGTCCCCCAGCAGTAACATCCTAGAACTTCTCATCTGTCCTGTCTTACTTCTTCCCCCTTTTTATTTCCTTTTCCTAAGCTGTACTGAGATTAATATTAATGCAGTTAATCTAATCTTGCTCTGTCATACTTCTGCTTGCATCCATGGACTTGCCTGGGTGTTTCAACCAGCAAATTYATGCAGCACTTTAGCTTCCTAAGCAATATAGTAGCTTGTGTATTAGAATAAAATCTGTTCAGCTTCCTCTCCTGAAGCTAATACCAAAACTTCATAGAAGAGCATGCTTTTAAGCTGGTAAAGCTGTTACTGAAATTGATTCTGTCAATGATTTGATTGATGATTTCTTGATTCTGTGTCTGATTTGTCATTAATTCTGTCAATGATTGCATGATTCATCATTAGGAATTATTCCAAAGTAACAAAAAATAACAAAAGTATCAAAACCCGAGCATCCCCAGTACTCATTTCTAGCAAGTTTGTGTGTGTCTGCCCAAGGATATGCCTGGAAAGAAAGGGGTGCTCCTGCAGGACATAGCTGTGGCAGTGACTCCAGGGCCCAGACCACTAGAGTTTTCCTCTGCCAACCTGCCCCTGTGTGTCCCTAATGCTGTGGTATCCTCAGGACTTGGCCCTCTTAAGTACCATTTGGTTCTGTAAAGGTCCATTTTACTCAAAATGTTTGCAAATATTTCAGAGAAAAGCTTTCTTTGTTGAAACTGGATGATGTCCTTGCTCTAATACAGGAATAGGCAGATGTGAGTTGCTTTGGTGGAAGGTTGAGAAAGCTCTACCCCAGTTATCTTATCCTTCAGAAAGGCAGGGAAAACAACAAAAGAATCAAACATTGCATGCAAGGAGGAGGGAAAATATTTAGAACTATTTTCTGAATACAAAGGACACACTGGCAGCTTTCCCCCATTCCCCTTTTGCAGATAATTGTAAAGGGGAATACAATAAACAACACAAATTCAACAAAAAAAAAAATAGAAGTTTATGAGCTCAGATTCTATTCCTAATGTTTGCCAGCARTTAAAAATAGAGCAAAGCAGTTCTCTTTGGTACATCTTTAGGGTTAGTGAGTGCAATTCGACAGCAGCATCTGGTCTGCAGTAGGCTAGCGTAGCAAATATATATATAGCATAACCGATAAGGAGGTTTAAGCAAATACACATAATTACAACCAGAACTCTCATAGAGATAAGAAAATGCATCAGAAGAAATGAAAGATTCGACGTATACCTGAATGTGTTTCTCCCATCCTTTTCCCTCCTTATGTATGTGCTCTGGGGATGGAGTTGTTCATCGCCTGGAGCAGCAGCCACCAGAGAAGTCACCCACTGCAGAGCCAGGGGAGCAGTCTGTGGGGCTGTGCCTGATACCAGSTGATGGAAACAGCAACCCTGGCTGCAGGGACCAGGCAGCAGGGGTGAACAGTGGAAATCGTAGAGTTACATAGGCAATTGGAGAGCTGTGAAAGGGATACCATGAAGAAGAGGGTTTCTTACTTTATTCTTAACATCTGAATGCAAAATCAAGCGTAAGTCTCATAAGCATGTGGATTTTACAACCCTTGCCCAGGGAGCATGGAAAAACGCTGCCCCTTCACCCATCCCAGACTAGGAAACGTAAGTTTGTTCCTTCCCACAAGAAGATGCACCTGCATCTCTTGTAGGAGAGAGTATTCAGTTCCACAAACAGATTAAGGTTTAAGTAGACAGAGAAGTGGTTTGAGTGCAATGGGGAAGCAGCCAGGATGCAGTAAGGAAATACAGCCAGGTTACAGCAAAACAAAAGGCAAGCGTGAGGACTGTTTCTTACCGTGTTTTGGACCCGAGA